GGGGTTTGGGGTTTGGAGGGGAGTGTGGATGGGGTTTGGGGGGGTTTTGGGGTGTAGGAGGGGTCGGTGGCCGTGCCCGTGGCCGTGACGAGTGCGGGTGGCACCGCAGGCCTCGTGCTGCGCTGACAAGGTGCACTGTTGTCCCCACGCCACCGTGTGYGACCTGAGCCGCGGGCGCTGCGTGTCCCCCGCCGGTGACAATGACACCCCCCTGAGCTCGGCCTTCCCCGCCTGGAAGCGCCAGCCCCCTGTCCCAGGTAAGGKCTGTCCCCTGGGGGTGCCCGGGGAGGGGACACACCGGTGACATTGTGACACGGTGATGCCGGGTGTCCCCTCAGTGGCACCGCGCCAGGTGCTGTGTCCTGACGGCCGCTCGGCGTGTCCCGACGGGGCCACCTGCTGCCAGCTGTCCCCAACGCAGTATGGCTGCTGTCCCCTGCAGAACGTGAGTGCGGGCACGGCCGTGGGCACCTCGGGGTGGGCAGCAAGGAGTGGACACTCCAGGGTGGACACTTTGGGATGGGCACCCCGGGATGGACACCCTGGGTTGGGCACCCCGGGATGGGCACCCCGGGATGGACATTTTGGGATGGGTACTCTGAGAAGGGCACCCCGGGATGGACACTCTGGGACGGGCACTCCGGGGTGGACAGTCCAGAATGGGCACTCTGGGATGGACAGTCCAGAATGGGCACTCTGGGATGGGCACCTCAGGATGGACACTCTGGGATGGGCACCCTGTCCCTGTCACCCTGTCCCTGTCACCCCGTGTCCCTGTCACCCGTGTCCCTGTCACCCATGTCCCTGTCACCATGTCCCTGTCACCCATGTCTCCCCCAGGCTGTGTGCTGCGGTGACGGGCAGCACTGCTGTCCCCAGGGCACCACCTGTGACCTGACCCATGCCACCTGCACCTCGCTGGGGCGCTCTGCCCCGCTGGCCGCGCTGCCCCAAGGTGAGCCCTGACCCCCCGGGGTGGCCACRCCCTGTCCTGTCCCCGGGAGGGGACAGCAGCTCTGACTGTTCTGTGCCCAGCTGGGGAGGTCAAGTGTGACGAGGAGACGAGCTGTCCCGACGGGAACACGTGCTGCCGCCTCAGCTCGGGGGCCTGGGGCTGCTGTCCCCTGGAGCAGGTAYGGGGGGTGCCCTGTGCCACCAGGATGGGCACCTGGCCACTGTCCCCTGGGTGGGATGTGGGCAGATGTCACCTGTCCCTTGGTTGGGATGAGGGTACATGCCATCTGTCCCTGGGTGGGATGAAGGCAGCTGACCCCTGTCCCCTTGAGAGGGACAGGGGTGGGGGTTCCCTGTACCCCCCCAGGACAAGGTTTGATGTCCCCTCTGCCCTTGGAAGGGACAATGGCAGGGGTCCTCTGTGTCCCCAACACAGTCAGGTGTCACCTGTCCCCTGGGTGCGATGAGGGCACCTGTCCCCTGTCCCCTGGGTGGGACAATGGCTGGGGTTCCCTGTACCCCCCTGGACAGGCAGTTGTCCCCTGTCCCCCAGGAAGGCTCCCTTGTCCCACGGGGATGGGAGTGACACCAAGCCCCTTTGACACCCCCCAGTCAGGCCCCCTGTGCTAAGTGGGACAGTCTGGAGCTCTGGTGACAAGAGGTGACAGAGGGAGATGAGGCCACCACGATGCTCAGGGACCTTTGTGTGTCCCATGGAGAAGCACAAACACCTCTGGGGGGTTCTTCAGATCTGCCCCCATCAAAGTGGGGATGGGGTCTGGGGGGACACCAGGGGAGGGCAGGAACAGGCAGGAGGGGACACATGTGTCCCCTGGGTGTCCCAACCGTGTACAGGGGGTCCCCCATGCTCAGCCCCCTCTCTGTGCTCCCCAGGCCGTCTGCTGCCCCGACCACGTGCACTGCTGCCCCCAGGGCTACACCTGCGACCCCGAGGGGGGCAGCTGCCTGCAGGGGGGGGGCGCCCGCCGGCCCTGGGTGCGCAAGAGCCCGGCGCTGCCGCGGGGGACACAGGGGACAGCGGGCAGCGTCCAGTGTGACGAGGAGACGAGCTGTCCCGACGGGAGCACGTGCTGCCGCCTCAGCCTGGGCACCTGGGGCTGCTGTCCCCTGGAGCAGGTGGGGCGGGGGGCTCAGCCCACCCTGTGTGGGGAGAGGGATGTGCTGGGGTTCCCTGCGGGGTGGGGACCCTGTGTACCTGGGGGGGTGGGGGGTCCTGGACTGAGCAGAGGTTCCAGGTGGTCCTGGGGTGTCCTTGAGGGGGGACATGGCTCAAGGGACCCTGAGTGCAGCACCCAGCTGGGGGACATGGGGACATTCAGCAGGGCACAGCCACCACCTGTTCCCCCCCACAGAGCCACCCACGCCCCATGGAGTGGGGATTCCTGTGCCCTGAGGGGACAAGGCCAGTGTTCTCTGTCCCCCGAGAGGGACGAGGCCAATGTCCCCCTTTGCTGCTTGAAGGATGGGGGCAGATGTCCCATGTGCCCTGGGTGGGGTGACAGCAGATATCCCTTGTCCCCCAGGAGGGACAGGCCGGGCTCCACCCCCCTGATGTCACCATGGGACACTGAGACCCTTTGCTGTCTCCCACCCCAGTCAGACCCTCTGT